AAATAATTTTTTCTCCAGGTAATGCTTAAGGAGGCAGGTGAGAATTTTATAATGCCCAGATCATTCAGTCAGAATTTATTCAGTGCATAATAAGCAAGACATGGAACTAGGCACCACTGGTTCAATGACCATACTTCCAAAATGAAAATTTTGAATACACACATCAACAAAAAATGTTATGTAACTTCCAAGTTTATGCAGCAACCTGGGAGACATAGTTTGGACACTGACATACTAGAATTTCCAAAACATTCCAATGCTACATAGTAGAGACAACTAAACATTTAATTTCAGAAGTAGGAGTAACTCCTCCCCCAAAAAAGAAAAATCGGGGTTGTAGAAAAAGACTCTACATATTTTAATGTTAGAGCTGATGAATTTTTTTTTTTTACTTAACTCCATATGAATAAAATTCTGTCTTTGAACATCAACCATCATTTTTCTAGTTTCACAACTGTAGAAAATACCTGAAATTGACAACACTGTAAGGTGGTATTGTCATGATCTGAAGGCAACTGTGAACATAAATCTCTGATATCCATTTGTTTGTTTTGCTCTTGGCAGGCATGTGCAGAATTTCCAGTTGCAAGAGATAGGAGTAAGTTCATAGAAAGTCAGATAGACCATATTTTAAAATAGAGCCATAATATATTTTGCTGTGAGGCAAATGCATGGATTAGGGGAATAAAAAGAAGAAAAACACCAAGTTCTATTCCTTTCTCTGATTCTATCAATAAGGACACATCAAATTTTCAGTGTCTACATCATTCCCACCAGATGACTGTATTTTAAAAAAGAAGTGCTGCCCTAGCTGGGTAGCTCAGTTGGTTAGAGCATCATACCAATATGCCAAAGTAATGGGTTCAATCTCCAATCAGGGCACATACAACATGCAACCAATAAATGCATAAATAAGTGGGAGCAGAGGGAAGGGCAACAGATGAAACAAAGCAGTGCACTCATCACATAACAGTTTCATTTCTTCCAAGTATTTAGCTGTCATGTAGCGAAGTTCTACAGCCAGCAGGGAATGTTAGGGCCAGGCTAAGAGTTAAAGGCAGAATCAGGCAGGGATCAATGAAGAGAGCTAAAGTTTGAAAAGAAATGTCTGTAGAGCATCACTACAGAGAAAAAACAGACTATTGAGTATGTCAGGGGAGGGAAGTAGTAGTTATTCTTCTATTTAAATTCCTCCATCTTTTGCTTTATATTATGCAACTAGAGGCTCGGTGCACAAAATTTGTGCTCTCAGGGTGGTCCCTCAGCCCAGCCTGTACCCTCTCATGGTCCCAGAGCCCTCGAGGATGTCCAACTAATAGCTTAGGGCCAACAGTAGGACATCCTTAGCCCTGCTGCAGAGTTGGGAGAGGCTCCCACCACTGCCGCTGCACTGACCAGCCGTGAGCCCGGCTTCTGGCTGAGTGGCCCCTTCCCCTGTGGGAGTGGACTGACCACCACGGGGCAACTCCTGCATTGAATGTCTGCCCCCTGGTGGCCAGTGCACGTTATAGTGACCAGTCATTCTGTCATTTGGTCGATTTGCATATTAGTCTTTTATTATATATGACTCTTTTTTTAAATGTAAATGTAAAACAATGAATCATGTTATTCTAATTTCCAACAAATGTTACTACCACGATGTTTTCTCTGAATTTTTATACTTTCCTTTTTTTTAATCCAAGAACATCTCAATGAAACAGCTAGTTTTGCTAAATGAAGTGGCTTTTCCAAGGTAATCTAAATGAATGCGTTTCATCTTTAATGCTGCATCCATTTCCTTTCATTCCTAAGGTTTAGAATACTGATAAGGGTCTCTGAACACACTTGAGAAGGTGCTGAAAACCTGAAAAATCAGTTAGTTGCAACTTAAATTCAACCTATTTTTCTAAAGTTGCATGCTGGAACTATAAGTCAAGAAAATCATACTACTACTCACAAGCAGAGCTTTATTTGTAAATAGCATTTTGTTATACCATAAAAACCAGCTCACTCTAATGAAGGTAACTGTAAACAAATGCCATGGCACACCATGGTAATAATGATCCAAATACTCTATGTAAGCAAATACTTCTATAACTGCATTTGGTACAAGGAGATAAAGTTTAAGGAGCACAGAAATTTCCTCAAAGATAATCCCTTTCCTGCATTAAAGAATAAGTCAATCTCAGCATGAAGATGAAGTTCTAGCAAAATGTAGAGTGAAGTCATGATTTTGTGAACTGTCTTATGTAATTTTTATGAATATGAAAAATTGTTTGGTAATGTTCTCCATTCATTATACATGTACTCTGTACTCACCAAGCATCTGTATACATCTTCAAGGGGAACTGCTATTTCATAGTGGACTGATCATCAAAATAGAGTATCATCTCAAATAATTAACCATAAAAATTATACTTATGACAAAATGTTGAATCCAACACTTGCTAATGGCTTTTAAGTCTGTAAGAAAGTGTAAGAAATAGTGCCCACCTTAAAAATCAGAATTCGCCAATAAAACTTTTTTCTTTAAGTAAAATTTCACATTCAGAATTTCACATCAAGAGGCTTATCAAAACAAATGTAAAATTAACTTTTCTATTTTGTGTTTATTAACCACATTTGTTCTATAATAGTATATAGACCAAACTTTTGGAATTATGCATTGGTGTACTTATGATGAAAAGCTCCATTCATAATATACAAGGTATCCCCAAAAATGTATACACTCACTTCTGTAGATTCTTTTAAATTCTGAAAATGAACCATATATTAAAAAACACTGACTTTATAATCTCAAAGTGTGTATCCATTTTGGGGGGACATTTTATATATATACTCTGCACTGGGGAGAAAAGGAAGGCAAACAGCCACAGAATGGTTGAATGTACTCTTTCACATTAACTGGTAAAGACACCAAGCCTGAATATACAATTATTTTTTGTATTAGTCACTTGATGACAATTTCACATTTACATGTAGAATCCACACTTTGTGATTTAAAACAGGGAATGTGATCTATGTGTTTGCACATAAGTATTTTTTTTCATTGCTGACACCTTTACTGCTTATCATTTTAATTGCAAGTTTTATATTAATTGTTTGAAACTAGGTAATCTTAGCATACACATTGGTGTTACAACACCTAAACTTCACACATCAGAGAGATATTTGTTCTCTCTGATATTTTAGCAAAAGGTCTTGTTTTACATGTCAACAGAAAGCCTTAAAACAAACCATAGTTCTTTTGAATGAATTTGAATTGACTGTTTACAGGAGGATCCATGGCCTGCAGAAAGAAAAGCTGTGCATCTCTAGTCCCATTTTCCAGTCATTTTTTTTTTCAGGTATTTCCTTCTTATTTTGATGGGTCTATGAATACTACATTGAGGCAGGAATGACTTTAATATAACCAAAACAAAATAAGATATTTTATTCTATTTTCCTTATAAAGGAGACCACCATTTCCCCCATAAGAAAACACATACACAAACTTTCAAAACTGAGCACATCCGAATGAAGCAAGGAACAGTTCTGAAGCCCCACATGAATTCTGACTGTATGGTCTTTAGGCCGCTGGAGTATTTCACCGATGGGCTCTTCATGCAAATGACTTTATTGCCTTCACTCTACTTGCAAGCTCTGGCCACATAAGAGCCCACCTGGGTTCTATACCTCTAACTCCCCCACCCCCCGCCACCCCCACCACCCCCACCACCACCACCACCTCTCTCATTCTCTTTCTCTTCACCAGCCAGCCTTGTCTCCAATTTCAGAGGCCCGCTCAGCGCCTAGCCCACGCCCAGCCCTGCTTTGCTCTGCATTCTGACCCCCAGGCATGAGGGCTACTACTTAATCCTGGAGGTTCTGCTACGCTGTATCATCCTTCCAGGATTCCTAGGACGCTTCCTCCCGGACTCCACCACGGAACACAAGGGAAGTGGGTTCCTCCCCGTGCAATAGAGGAGACCCCTGCCTCTCCCGTTCCTCCCCACACACAGCCCGGCTTCTCTTTGCCAGAAAGCTCAGGGCCATCTCCGCCAGAAGCAGAGGCTCCCTGGCCCTGGGAGAACCAACCAGCCCCTGGAGAAAGGGGTGCCGGGCGCGGAGGAAGCCGGCGGGGCGAGTTCCCCCACGGGGAGGTGCGCCCCGGCGGAGAACCATTCGAGAGCAATGACAGGTCGGCGGGGGGAAGGCTGAGGGAGGCCGGGGAGCTGGGTGAACTGCTCTCTCGCCTCTCGCAGGGCCTGCGGGGGAATCCCGGGGCCGGGACGGTGGGACGCCCGGGTCGATCCCCGCCCCCGCGCGCGCCCTCCGCCCCCCCCCCGCCCGCGGCGCCCCCGCCCCGCCCCGCCCCCGCCCCGCGCGGCAGGCAGCGCCGGGCGCCCCACGCTCTCCCGCTCTCTCGCGAGTCCTGTGCAGGCCCTTCCAGGGGGAGGGGAAGGGCGCGCGGAGGGACTTGCTGCAATGGATCGCCCCGAGCACCCCAGCCCGAGGCAGGCAGGCAGTCGGTCGAGGAGAAGCCACCACCGCCACCTAAAAAATGCCGTGTTCATTTTTTTTTTAAAGCCATACCCCACCCCCTCCCTGTGCAAAAGAAAACCATAAACCCGATCCCATGCAAGCCAGTGAGCAAGCCACCCACTTCCTATTTCTGTCACAGCAGCTACACCCTGCCAGCAACCACCGCCGCCCCCCCGCCCCCGCACCCCGGGCGCCCCCTCTCGCCTCCGCCACCCCCTCGGCCGCCTCCCCAAGGCTCAGCCATTTGCTAACGGATCCTTCCACCCCCCCATAAACAAAAATGCCCCCAAGTGGGCCTGGGGGGAGGCCTGGGGGACAGGGTGCGCGCGAGGGGGGGGGGGGGCCGAGGGTTGCACAATATCCTAGAAGGTCCGCGGCCGGAGCGGGGAGAGAGCCCGGGGCGGGGGAGGGGAGGGAGGGGACCAGAGGGGAGGCGAGCCGCCCGGTGCCTGCGGCACACGGTGCACCCCGGCCGCCGCGGCCGGCGCGCCGCTTACCTTTCACCACCCGGTCCGTCGTCGACAACTTGGGATCAATGGCCTTGGGCTCGGACATCTCCAGCCGCCGGGGGGACAGCGACGCGCTGTTCGTTCGTCCGTCCGACTGCACACCCCGACCGGACCGGCGGGGGCCAGACACTCCGCGCCGCCGCCGCCGCGCTGCACACCGCTCGCCGGAGCTCCGGGTGCGGAGCTGGCTGCAAAGTTACTGCCTTCCCCGCGCGTCCCTCTTCCTCCTCCGCCGCCGCCGCCGCCACCGGCCCCGCCGCCTCGGCTCCCGGCACGCGTGTGTGCGGGTTATTTATTTATTTTCTGAGCACGCCGCTCGGTTGGTTCTTCTTTTATTCTCGGGGAAGGGGGATGGGGAGGCGGAGGAGCGCACACTCGAGCAGCACCCACCCGGGCACGGAGAGCGGGCGCCGCGGAATGGAGCCCCGCGCGCGCACACAGCCGGGATTAGGACCGATCACATGGGGAGGGCCGGGGGCGAGGGAGGAGAGGCAGGGCCGCGGGTGTCAGGGCCACCAACCGCGCCTCGGCGTCCCCGGCGGCGGAGAGGCGCCCGCCGCTGCCGCTGCTGCCGCTGCCGCTGCTGCCGCCGCTGCTGCTGTCGCTGCTGCCGCCGCCGCCGCCGCTCCCCGCACCGAGCGCCGCAGCAAGTCCGCGGCCGCAGGAGACGTCCCGCCGCCCGCTCGCTCGCCTCTGCGTCCCGCGCCGCTCCTTCCCTCGCACACACAGGCGGAACCGCGGAGCTCGGCAGACACAGTCCCGGGCGCAACCTACCCTCCGCAGCCGCCGCCGCCGCTGCCGCCGCCGCCACCGCGCCCGCCTCCGCCTCCTCCCCTTCCTCCTCCCGGCCCCCGCCTCTCCCTCCCGGGCCGCCCCCTCCTCCTCCTCCTTCTCCTCCTCCGCGCCGGGCCCGCCCCCGGGGCCCGCCCCCACGTCAGAGCTCCTGCTGCTGATTGGCCGACTTGCGCGTCAATCTAAGCCAGGTGACGGCCTCCAGCTCCGCCCACGCCCCGCCCCGCCTCCCGGTCCCGCCCCCCGCTCTGTTTTCTCCCAGCTGCCAGCCAGCCAGCCCGCGGGCCCGCCGCTCGCGCCGCCCGCCCGGCCCAGCTCAGATGTCACCGGGGCTGGCAGGCCGGGATCGGGCCGGAGCGCGGGCCGGGGGCGCGCCTGGGTGGAAGTGGGGGGGTGGGGAGGGCTCTACCAGCAGCCCCATTGGGCTTCCTCCCCTGGACCCCCCACACACACACCCTCGCCGCCTGGGTGACTGTGCCCGGGCGGCTGGGCTAAGCCTCCGTGAGTAGCTGAGCGCGGAGGGTGTCTCCGGGGCTGTGCGTGGCTCCCGGTGTGTGCTGGCTCCGGGGAGGGCGCTGAGGGCGCAGGCTGGGATCCGGGGTCGGAGGGCGCAGGCTGGGCGCGTGGGGGGAGGGGGACGGGGCGACGAGCCGGCGGAGGAAGGCTGGGCGCGGGGAGCCCCGCGGCCCGGGGCGCAGTTGCTGTCGCCGCCCCAGCTGTCCGGGGAGGATCGCCCAGACGTCTGCCAATAAACAACTCACCTTTGGGGGCCGGGCTCCTTTTGGCAAGCGTGGTTTAGCTTTTTTTTTTTTTTTTGCAGGCGACGTGTTGCTTGCTAACACTTACTTGCTAACATTTACTCTCATACCTTGGCGAGGCGGGTGGGGGGGGGGGGTCTTGGGAGAGGTGCCACCCAGACACTGGGCAGGGGACGTGGCCGTGGCCAGGGGTGCTGAGCGAGGTGGGACGTGGGAGCGGGCTATCCAAGGAAGATGGGGCAGGAGTCAAAATGACCCCGGACAATTCTGAGTCACCGGGGATGGTCAGATCCTGCAGGTGTGGGGGGGCCGGGAGAGACACCCCAGAGAGGGTCGTCTTTTCCCTGTTGGCACAAGCAAGCCACTGGTCAGGCTGCCTGTGACACACCTCCCTTCCCTGCTCTTTGCGGTTGCCTGACACCCATCTGATGCTACCGCTACCCATACTCGTTTCAGGGCCTAGAAGCCCTAGGAGGATCCACATGATGAGTCCCGCCAGTGGGAAGGAAAAGAAATTAATCCAAGGCAGAGGCCAGAGGTGACTGGTCTAAATGCTCCTTCGGGATCTACCTGCCACAGGGTGAGTGAGGGTCTCCCTCTGCCAGAAGGCCACCTCCGCACAGCCCCTCGCTCCCACCAGCCTCCTTTCAGCACCGAGGCCTGGTGAGGAGGCCGGAGTTTCTTAGGGAATAATGAAGAGAACTAAGTAATTTCCCACCCTGCATCCTTCCTGTCTTCTTTCCAAATCCCACCACTATCAGCTTATTCCTTTTTTTTTTTTTTAAAGGACCCAGGAGCCTAGTAAAAGGCCTCATACAATATTTAGGGAGCTAGGAGGTAGAGCCAGTGTTTGGGGACAGGGATGACATTAAAGTTCAAACTTGCAAATAAGTTTTAGGGATTGACTGGTGGTGCTGGAGCATGACTTGAACAGTTTGGCCTGCAAGGAGTCGGAACTTACTGGAGAAAGCAGTTAAGCCTCTGTGGAGGCCTGCTAGCTGGAAAGGAGACCATGCAGGGTGTGTCCATCTGGCTCCAAGATTCTGCTGCCGGATTCAGAAGCCAGGATAGGGCTCGGTCATTAGGCTGACAGTACATTCAATAAACATGTGTTGTTCTTTTCTATGCCAGACACTATGGTATGTAATTTATCTGTGTGTGGAGAGAGGAGGGGAAAATTTTCGCCCTTAATAAAGCCTGGAGTCCAATAGGACTATCATAAAAATACTAGCTCTGAGAGGTCACTGTATCATCTCAGGAAGGGGTTGTTGAGAACAGCCCCCTAAGCATGGGCGAAGCTAGTTGCTAAGGTAAATTTGGGGAGCTGGTCCCTAGCCAGGTGGGACAAAGCCAGGTAGGGATGCCAAGACCTGTGGGAGAGGAAGAGGGTCTGCTTGAGAAAAGACTAAGAAACCATGTCCGGGGATTCTCATTTCTGAGACCATGAGTGTTCTCTTCCACATGTTGCGGTTTCCACCATTTTTTAGACTCACTCTTCAGGTTGAAGAAAAATACCTGTAAACCAAGATCCGGAGGCTTAACATGTCAGCCCCATAGAAAAGTTATATGATGCGGATAGGAAATAAAGGCACACCCTTCGGTCCTCCACAAATCTAAGACACCTCCTAGCTGAGGTATGTGTGGGGGAAAAGAGGTTATGAATCATAATCTCTTTATAGCACATTTATCATCAAGTACTTTTAATGCATGTTTGTACTCCCATACTGCTGTGACACAGACATCTTAAACAAAACTGGACCCTACACAGGAAAACGAGACAACAGTATGTTCATTGAGAACTAGTTACATCTTCATGCTGGGCCTGCTGAAATAGCCAAATCATCCTTTTTATACAGATTTTTTTTTCAAATATCTTTTTTCAAATATATATATTTTTAAAGCTTATTAGACTGGCCAGGCTGATTATGATTATATTATACTTGTATGTGATTACCTTATATTTGGAATCTACATTTTTCAAGCTATTACTGGAAGCTGACTTTAACAATATCCCCTGCTTATAAAGAAACAAATTTGCTATATACTAAAAAATTGTATTTCCCATTCTTTTGTATATTTTTCTCTGAGAAACATATGCCCAGGTAGGACTTCTATTTCCTGACCTGCACCTGCTTGTGTCTAAGTGAATCCACGTGTCTCATTCTGGTCAATGAACTGTGGGCGAAAGTGTGTCATCACTTTCAAGCCAAAACAGCTAAGCAAGAGATATTCATTACCTATGCATTCCCATCCTTTAGCTCAAGCATGTCAAACTCAAAGACTAACACGGACCAAATAAATGAGGCATGCGGCCCGCAGGCTGTGAGTTTGACATGCTTGCTTTAGCTAAATGAAGATGTTTCAATGGCCCAGGAGAAGGCATAACACCACATGGAAAGAGCTAACTTCTTCAATTACCACATAAAGGGATGCAGCCCACCCACTATGAAAATCTGCATCAGGCTTTACATGAAGAAGAAATAAGCATATATTGTGTTGTTCCATTGAAATTTGGGGATATGCTTGCTAGGGTGGCTAGTACTATCAAATCAACACACAAGGTTATTTAACATGCTAGTACAAAAGTAAAATTCATATTTTTTTGTTATATAACAGAACTACCAGACTAAAAATATTCTTATTTCTTTTAATATGTGAGCATCAAACTTTGCCTTCTTGTAAATGAATTATTCATTTACCAGTTGTGTTTTGAACACCTGTTCTGTACAAGGTACTGTGCTATATAGATGGTGCATAAATATATAGATTAGGAACTCAAAGATTTAGTCCTTTATTCAAGAATCTCAAAGTCTTATTATACAAGAATTTTATGCATATTATCTATGCAAAAATTTAAGTATAAAGGAGTAACGTCCTCTATTGGAGAAAACAAACTAATTTTACTATTGACTTCACAACTAATTATGAAGATAAATGTGTGGAACAAAAGAAAATATTGACGATTCGGTATCATCTATGTAGTCAAATGCTCCAAATCACAGCTTACATCCTTGGGGACAAATCATATTAAATGAACAGTATTTTAGTTTGCTCTTAAGTGCTCAGTTGATTGGGTGTTGTCCTATGCACTGAAGAGTTGCTGGTTTGGGAGGGTGCATGCCTGGGTTGTGGGCACAGTCCCCTGTGAAGTGCATGTGGGAGGCAGTGATGGATGCTGCACTCTCACATCAATGTTTCTCTTCCCCTCTTTCAAATCAATAAAAAGTCTTTAAAAAAATAAGAGGGTTTTTTTTTTTTTCAAGAAAAGAACTGAAGTTATTGTATTTTATATCTTGTTTTGAGAATAACCTGCTCTTAAAATGTTGAACTTTCTCTTGGTACTTGGATATCTTTACACTCATTTTGACATTAAGAATTTTGACTCTTCTCTTGGTTTTGACTCTCCAGAGGGACGTATTTTGTTCTGAGTAGTTGATGGGAGACAGGATGTCTGACCTATTCTCACCGGAGCTGCTGGAGCCTTGTATTGGAGAACATGCAGACTAGACAGCCTATCCTAGTGGAGCCATGACTGTGTATAAGAGCAGGATTTATTATCT